ATAGGATTACTTTCTCTTAATCAAGATCAATTAACAGAAATCTTAATTGGATCCAATCACAAACCAACCAAACCAAACCAACCCTTCTCTCTCCTCCTTGGCCTATAAATACAAGTCTTGCTAGCTATTTTATTTCACTCCATACACATACAACACACGGCTGAGAGAGGAGGAAAGGGAGTGCAAGTGAGCTTGAGAGAAAAAGAGAAAAAAAGAGAGCAACAAGTTGGAAAAAGATCTAGCAAACCAAGGTAAATCTCACACACCTCTTCTCTCAATGAATCATCATGTTTTTCCCGTTCATAATACATGCTAAAGATATATTTCACATGATACTAAGAGTTACTACATTGTTAGATGATGTATGGTTTGAAAACGAAATATTCCTCTTCTTCCTTGCAATTTCCAGCAAGCTTTTCTCAAGGTTTTTCATTTTATTTAAATAGCAAACCTTAATCAACTCAAAATCTGTTTTAAAGGGGTATTAGTTGACATATATAGAGTATGTGAAAATTTTGGATAAGACCATGGATGTGTTTTTATGACTCCTTTTATTTTTCTAAGTACTTGGTGCAAGAACCTATTTAAAATAGGAAATTTTAGGAAATTCTAGAAAATTATAGAAAAGTGATCTCATGTTCATTTTTATATCAAAATCTTCCTCTGAAGGTTAGCTTTCAAAAAAAAATTATTTCAATGGAAATGAATGAGTATTTTAAGAGAAACAACAAATTTTGTAACAGTTGTCAAATTTGGGCAGATATGTGTATTTCTTAAATATCTAAAAATCAAAAAGGGCCACCCTGCTTCCGTAAAATGATTCTAAAACTAGACTTGATTCTCTACAAATTCTCAGCAAGCCACATTTCTGAAACCCTTAGAAAATATTTTTCCTATATTTATTTTTGAACCGGTGCAGTGCTGAAATTCTGACAGTGTGGTTCTTGTTGTAGTTAGTGTTTTTGTGCTATCAAGACATATTTGTTGTAAAATATGTTATACTTGCATGCTTGAGTTTCACCTTGAATGGCCTTATTTTGCTCTTACTTGTGCTAACCACTAATGTGTAATGAACTTAATGTGAAAAGGGGAAAACTAAATGGGTTGGTAAAGAGGGTTGACGACCACTCTAGTTATACATCATAAATGATGAGAATGTTAATTTGATATTAGTAGTGGATTAAAACGAGCAAGTCTTGCGCAACTGGTTGTTTCGGAACCCTTGAATGGAGCGGTTGTATTCGGACCCTAGGTAATTCAGTGTAATGAGGGATTTGGGCTAGGTCCATCATTACCGTCTCTTTTGAGGCCCTCGGTTGGCGTTGCGTGGTATATAACCATTGGTAGGCATCTGAGGTAAGGTTTGCAACAAAGCAGCAAAAGAGGGGGCATACCGAATAATCCACGTCCAATTCTTAGAGTTAGGAGGATGAAATCTCTTTGGGAGATTTCTAGATTACTAATAATTAACCATATAATTTGTGCTATGAACTTAAATGCCATGATCATTTCCTCTGCCTTTTTGTAAATGTTGTTGTGTATTGGACTGGGAAAAAGAAATAGGGTGTATGTGCATTTACTGGGGATTCAAAGCTTACAGCATATCATGCCAGGTGCCAAAGAGGAGCTTACAGCAGGAGACGACGAGCCGGAAACCTTCGAAGACATTTGGTTATCTTTGAAAAGTTCGAAATTTCCTTTTGATGTTTTGTAAAGTTCATATAAAAATTTAAATTTTCTTTTGGGATGTAATGTTAATGGAACGAGCTTTTGTAATTAAGGATATTCGTAATTATTCTATTATTTTGTACTTAAATTCTAACACCAATATAATCCCTTTCGTCACTTATGAGACCTTGTGTCAATGCCTCTTAAGATCTGTCAAAAGGGTAGTGTGCCACCTAAGAAAGCTGGACTTAAAAAGGAGGCTAATTTGACTGCTCCAACGATCTGGGATCTTTCTTGGTTATTGGCTATAGGACTCATTTGTGACTTTCCTTTGACTGGAACCATTAGTGTAGATTTGGGGCATCACAATACCTAGCATACAGCTGATCAGCCTTACACACTGTGTATTCTACTTCCCTTTCCGGTTCAAATGTCAATTCGGGCATGACCAGACCCACCTAGAGGAGGGGGTAGAGTACCTAGTTTCATTCTCCATCCAAGGTTCACATTTGGCTAGGTACCTCACAGCTTGGAGGTCGAGAGAGCTTCTGGCCCCTACCATTGCCCCTGGTTTCAGTTGAGCCATCTCTGGCGAATGCCTGGCTTGGCTCGAGGACGAGGCACAAACCGTGCTTGCTTTGGCATCAGAAGCTTCCACAAGCACGAGTGGGGGACGCATCTATGCCCCTAGTATATTGCTTTTACCTTATTTTTCAAGTTTTTATGATGTAATAAAAACAACTTTGATTTGTATCGAGAGTTGGAGAACTTCATATTGAAATCAATGAAATTAAAGTTGTGAGCACTGAAAATTTTCCTTTTGGTCTAAAAATGGTGTAAGTTGTAAAAGGTAAAATTTGAACAAAATCAACTTTTACTAAAACTTTCCAAAACCATTTTCGAAAAGGATCACCACCTGACATGCACAGAATCATTCCTTGAGATGTACAATCTCGAATCAAAATATCACAAATTGCCCCTTGACTGAATAACACTACTCAACACTATAACTAGTTCTAAGAATAAAGATAACAACCAAACTCTTAGATAAAGAACAGACAAAGATGACCTGATCAAACACATGGACAGGACAGTTGAGTTGGAGGTGTTTAAGGTCGAACTTCAAGATGAAGTTGCCTATGTCTCCTAAAGGAGGGAATCAGGCCTTACGTAGTTTGGTTAGGGTTCACTCGAGTATTAACTCTCTCCTTTTGCACTCTAACTTTTGTCAAGGCCGCCCTTTAGGGTTTTCAACCTTGCGAGCTTAGGACACAAGTGAGTTAGCGTTGTCACATTTGTTAATGTGCTAATCTGCTGTTGTCACCTTTATTAGGATGTCTGGATGTGGACGTGGTGGTGGTAGACGTGGTAGACCTATGGGGCATGAGATGCTGATACCAGATGAAATTTCGGCGCAGGAGGGGGAGTTGGTCAGGCCAACGTGGCCAAGCCAGTTGGTCAGCACGCCATGGGCGCCTTAGCCTGCGAGATGGCAGGAGCATTGAGGGAATCCATGGACATTCTCAGGGTTGAGAATCAAGTCCAGGCCCATGTAGCTGAAGCAGGTCCGTCTTTTCTGAAGAGAGAGTTCTTCCGGTCGAATCCGGATGAATTTTTGGGTGACCCTAAGGAGCCACTGAAGGCTGAAGACATTTGAGATGCTTGGCATTCGAGGATAATCAGTTGAAAGTGACCTTGGCTACTTTCCAGTTAAAAGGGGATGCGGGGCAATGGTGGAAGTATGCGCAGGGGCGCATTGGAGGGACTTGGGAGGCATTTGTTGACACTTTTCAGGAGAAGTTTTTGCCTGCCACTGTTAGTGAGAAGTTGAGGGATCAGTTATGTCAGCTCAAGCAGCTGAATACACCAGTGGCAGAGTTTAAGGCCACCTTTACTAGTCTATCCAGGTTTGCACCTGAGTTAGTGGCGACTAAGGAACGCCTCTGTCTGAAGTTTGAGAAGAAATTGAGGACCGGACTCATGTTTCGAGTGGCCGGTTCCATGATTAGAGATTATAGGCGCCTTGTGCAGTATGCAGCCCACCTTGAAACTATTATGCAGGCAGAAGAGGAAAGGATGAGGGGCTCCAAGAGGAGGCAGGATAGCCTAGGGGACAGTAAGTGGCAGAGGGGTTCTAACTCTCAGTAGTCCTAGGGGTTTCAGTCGAGGTCCACTTTCCCAATACCGAGTTCAGGTTCTGGGAGAGGTGTGCATGGAGATTTTACTTGCTTTAAGTGTGGTCAGTTGGGCCATAAGTCTCTAGCTTGTCCTCAAAGAGGAGGAGGATAGCGAGGAGCATCATCTTCGGCTCGTTTTCGGAGCCAGAGTCAGAGAAGAGGCCAGCCGCTCACTTGTTACCAGTGCGGGTAAGCGGGGCACCTGAAGAGGTTTTGTCCATAGTTGGGTGGTACAACTAGTGTGTCTGGATTGAGACAGACATAGAGTCACCAAGAAGCATAGTCAGTACAGGCCTCAAGGGCCAATCAGGGAGTCTCTTCGGCTCAGTTTGTGCATCAGGCTTATACTCCGAGGGGTGAGCAGTTTGAGCAGACGCCTAGTGGACGTATGTATACAGTTGTAGGGCCAGACCTTGTACCTAATTCTTCTGTAGTGAGAGGTACCCTTTTGTTTTGCAATTCAGTTGCTAATGTGCCGATTGATACGGGTGCATCCCATTCTTTTATTTCGTATGCATTTGCATCAGTTTTGGGTTTGGAGTTGGCACAATTAGCATCTCCTATTTGTGTAGAGTCACTTGTTAGTGGTCAGACTGTTTTAAGATTGGAATGTCGGGGTTGTGACATCGAGGTTGCTGGTCGTCGATTACCTTTTGCATTTGTATTGATTGACATGCTTAGTTTTGATGTTATATTGGGTATAGACTGGTTATCGTCATACCGGGTTGTCATAGATTGCTACCATCAGAAAGTTACTGTATCTACCTTGAGTGGCGATTACTTTTATTTCTTGGCGGACTGGGTGGATAGAGTCTTATCATCGGTATATGATTCGCATGGGCAGAGTGAACTTAGTTGTCTCCTTGCTAGTTTTTTGAGTAGTGAGTGTGATGAAATTCGAGTTGAATTGCCGAGGGTAGTTTGTGAATACTCAGATGTTTTTCGCGAGGATCTTTTCAGTTTACCATCTCACCAAGAGATCGAGTTCTCTATTGATTTAGTGCCTGACACAGCACCGATTTCTATGGCTCCATATAGATTTGCACCTGCTGAATTGAGTGAGTTGAAGATTCAACTCTAGGGTTAGTGTGAGAAGCTCTACCATCTCTCTAGAAAATCCTAAATTTCTAGGCTTTCAATATCTCGTTGATAACGATGATGCAGCCTCTGTCTTCAGAAGTGGTTTCTTTTATGGCTATAGATGAAGCGAAGGTTTCGGTTTTACCTGAGAAGTTGGGTTTAGGGCAAGCTGAACTGTTGGGTTTTTCCAAGGAGCGCGGATCTTCGAGTGATCCTAACAGTGCAAATATGGGGGGTGAAGGTAATCTCAGCCCTAGTGCGAAATCTTTTGTTGTGTCAATGGAGGTCTACAATCAGAGATTTTAGCTATGGGCTCACAGGGTTCTACTTCAGCGTTCAACCTGCTCCAGTCTAGATGGTCAGACATAGTTGAGATGGAAAGGGGAAATGAGGCTGTCATTGATAGATTCAAAGACCTTCCTTATAGCCTGGCTGGGACCAGGGCTAGGAATCTGGTATCTAAACTTAATCAACAACCCAACTATTCTTCGGACAAGTTTGGGGGTGAATTGGATTTGAGTCCATACATTCAATGGGCTTCAGGGGCTCAAAGTTCTAGGGGTCAATAGAGGGGAGGTAGATCGGGATTTTCTGCTGCCAGTAGGGGAGGCCGAGGAGGTTGGGGTCAGGGCCCTTACCCAGGTGGACCGAATAAATTTTCAGCAGCGGTGGGGGAGGGGATAGCACCTACACTTGTTGAAAAGAGCTGGGCCTGTTGTTGCATCTAATCAGAGGTCATCTGTGAAGTTAAGTTACTTTCCTCCCTTTGTAGTGGACAATGATATAGTTATTGATCTCCCTAAAAGGGATGATATTGAAAAATGGGAAACTACTCTTGTGGGCCATTTTCTGGACAAAAATATGAATATTGCATACATTAGGGCACAAGCCTCTAGGTTATAGAAAAATAAGGGTTTGAAGTTGGTGCTGTCTAGTGCTAATGGGTTTGTCTTCTTTATGTTTGATACAATAGATAGTAGTACTGCTGTTTTAGAGGATGGCTCTTGGTTCATTGGTGGACATTTTATTTTGCTCAGGAAATGGCATAGCATGATGAAATTATCCAAGGACCAACTTGATAAAATACCCATCTGGGTTAAAGTATTTAATGTTCCTATGGAGTATTGGGATGATGATGGTTTGAGTAGGATAGCTAGTGCTATTGGTGAGCCTCTCTACATGGATAGATTAACTGCTCATGGAGATAGGGTATCATTTGCAAAAGTTTGTGTAGAGATTGGAGTTAATTACATTCTGCCCACTAATTTCCTTATAAAATGTGAGGGTGAAAGCATTGAGGTGAGGGTGGAGTATCTATGGAAGCCTGCTAAATGTACTAAATGTCAAGTTTTTTGTCATGCTAATGATAGATCTATCAAAACTCAAGTGGAAAATATTGTTCAAAGTTTTACAGAGCAACAGGTTTAGGATAGTGATAAGGAATGAAGAAAAGTTATGGCTAAAGGTAAAAGGAAGGTGGGTGAACCCTCAATTGAGGTCTCTGATGAAGCAAGGCAAGGTGGGGATCAGGTTGATTGTGGGGTTCAAGAGGTCCCAGTTGCAGGTATATTATCCAAGATTGAGATAAATGCCTCAATGGAGGTCACTGATGTTGCAAGGAAATATGGGGGTCAGGATGTTTGTGATGTTCAAGTGGTGTCAATTCCTAGTTCATCATCAGAGATTGTGAAAGTTGGGTCTGAGGTGCCCTAATCTATATTGGATCCTTCAGAACCTGATCTTGAAATCCAAGCAAATTCTTTAAGCTTGGAAGAGGAAGTGGCTGACAGAGTGATGTTGACTCAAAGGATGCTGAGAAGTGCTGCTAAACCTGCTGCTCCTAAGGCTACTGGTTCTTCTAGTAGCCGTAAGAAGAAAAAGAGGTAAATCCTGTCTTTATGTGCTATCCCCAGAGTGTTGTGTGTGTGATTCTTTGTATGTATTTCTTTATGTGTATAAAGATTTGTGCTTGGAATGTTAGGGGTATAAATGATCCTAGTAGGCAAAGAGAAGTTGCTAAGTTTTTGAAGAAGGAGGACATTAATATTGTTCGTTTGCTTGAAACTAAAGTGATTGATAGTAATCATGTTAGAATTCTTAACCATGTTTTGCATGTTTGGGTAAGTTTTTCTAACTATGAGCATGCTATTTTGGAGAGGATTTGGGTCTGTTAGAATCCTGTTTTTTGTACTATTGATGTCTTGGATAGCTCTGATCAACACATGTGGTGTAAAATTAAAGTTTTAAATGGGGATATTCACTTTTTTGCCTATTTTGTATATGCTCAAAATACGTATGGCCTAAGGAGGCCTCTATTTAATAAGTTGGAGGCTTTGGCTCAATTTTATAGGGACTTTCCTTGTATTCTCTTGGGGATTTCAATGCTATTAGGTTCCCATATGAGAAAGTGGGAGGGGACCATAGTTGGTCGTCTTGTAAGAATGAATTTAACTTGTTTATTAATCAATCCGAGCTTGGTGATTTGAACTATGGGGGTTGCCAGTTTACTTGGGCTAACAAATAGTGTGAGGATAGATTTATTTCTTCTAAGATTGATAGGGCGTTGGTTAACGGGGTGTGGCTCAATAATTTGCCTCACTCCCATGCTTATTTCCATCCTTCTGGGACCTCTAATCACATCCTTGTGTTGTTACTGTGCCTTTGAAAATTCGTAGGGTGTGTAAGCCTTTAAAATTTTTTAACATGTGGGCTAATCATCCGGATTTTATACCCGTGGTTCGAGGTGTTTGGTGTAAGTATGTCAAAGGTTCTCCCTTGTTTAGGATTTGCAATAAGCTTAGGTCTTTAAACCCTGAGCTTAAAACTCTCAATAAGAAGCATTTTAGTGATATCTCGGTGATAACTTCTTGTGCCAAAGAGGATCTAGATCGAGTTTAGCTTCAGCTTAATAAAAATCCGGGTGACTCTAATCTTCAATCCCTTGAGAGGAATCTTTGTGCTAATTTTGCTAAACTCTGCAAAGAGGAGGAGTCATTTGCCGCCCAGAAATTGAGAATTCAATGGCTTAGCTTGGGTGATAGTAATAGTCGGTTCTTTTTCCGTTCTATTAATAATAATAGAAACCGTAGTAGAATTAGTAGTGTTACATTGGATGATAGGAGCATTATTGTTGATCCGTATGATGTCAAATTTGTTTTTGTCTCTTATTTTGAGGGGTTTTTGGGGAAGCCGTTTGTTGATAGGTACAATGGTGGGTCTAGAGTCCAGAAGCTTATTAAGAGGAAGCTCTTTCCTGCTCAAGCGGAAGAGATGACTGCTGATGTTTTTGAGTGTGAGATTGAGAGTGTTTTTCGCTCTCTCAATAGTAATAAGTCTCCTGGGCCTGATGGTTATCCAGCTAGGTTTTTAAGTATTCCTGGGATGTAGTTGGTAGGGACGTTATTCAGGCTATTAAGTCGTTCTTCTATTCCAGTGAACTTCTTAAAGAGGTTAATAGTACCGCTATTGCTCTTGTTCCAAAGGTTCCAAATCCTAGCAAAGTGGGTGACTATAGACATATTTCTTGTTGTAACACGGTGTATAAGTGTATTGCCAAAATTTTGGAAAATAGGATTAAAATGCTTCTCCCTGATGTTATTGATCCAGTCCAGTCTGCATTTGTTCAAGAGAGGAGGATTTCAGATAATATCTTCATTTCCCAAGAATTGATGAGAGGTTATCATAGAGGTTATGGGTCTCCTAGGTATGCAATGAAGGTTGATATCATGAAAGCCTATGATAATGTGAGATGGGATTTCATTTTTGATACTCTTGCTGGTATGGGCTTCCCTAATAGGATGATTGGTTGGATTAGGGCTTGCATTACTAGTCCTTCTTTCTCGATCTGTATTAATGGGGAGCTTTGTGGCTATTTTCGGGGTGCTAGAGGGCTTAGACAAGGAGACCCTATTTCCCCTTACCTGTTTGCTATTGTTATGGAGGTTTTAGATAGACTGTTGGCTGAGAAAGCTGAGAGTCCTAATTTTAAGTTCCACTGGAGGCGTGAGAAGAATAAAATTATTAATCTTTGTTTTGCTGATGACCTCATGAATTTTTGCAGAGGGGACATTAATTCTGTGTCTCTTATCAAGGAGGTTCTTGATGAATTCCAAGGGCTCTTTGGTTTATCCCCTAGCCCTCCTTAGAGTCATATGTTTTTTGCGGGTATGGATTGTCACTTGAGGGGTGAGTTACTCTCCATTATGGATTTTAAAGAGGGGAATCTCCCTGTGAGGTATTTGGGGGTTCCTCTTATCTCAACTAAACTGTGTAAAATACATTGTGATCAATTGGTGGCTAGGATTACCAAGAGGATTCAATTGTGGACCAATAAAGTGTTGTCTTATGCAGGGAGAGCCCAATTGATTAAATCTATCTTGTTCTCTATGTAGGTTTATTGGGCTTCGCTATTCATTCTCCCTGAGAAAGTGGTAAGGGAGATTGAATCTTGTATGAGGGCTTTCTTTTGGAATGGTCTTGATTTGAAAAAGTCTGGAGCAAAAGTTGCATGGGTGCACCTTTGTGTTCCTCGGAATGAGGGTCGTCTAGGGTTTAAATCTATTGAGGTGTGGAATAAAGCTACTATTGCCAAGCATGTTTGGTTTTTGTTGTTGGGGGGTGAGCAATCCATGTGGTGTCAATGGGTTAAGTCTTACTTGTTGAAGGGTAGAAATTTTTGGTGCCTCAAAGTTCCTAGTGACCCTTCCTGGGTCTGGAGAAAGCTTCTTGATTTGAGGAGCATTATTGCTCCCCTGATTAAATATAATGTTGGTAATGGGAAGGCTACCTTTTTGTGGTTTGACAACTGGCTCCCTCTTGGGCCTCTTCTTAATAGATTTGGAGACAGATATTTCTGACTCTGGGATCTAGAAGTTTGCTAAAGTGGAGGCTGTTATCTATGGCTCTAGGTGGAAATGGCTTGTGTGTCGTACTTGGGAGTTGAATGAGATTAAGGCTGCTGTCCTGACGGATATGAAGCCTTCGTTAGTGAATGATAAGGTGGTGTGGTTGTCATCTTCTGATGGGCAATTCTCCATTAAGTCTGCGTGGGATGAGTGGAGGACCCATGGTTCTAGAGTTGTTTGGGCTAAGATCCTATGGTTCAAGTTTCATATTCCTAGAATTAGTACTATGGTTTGGGTTGCTATACGTAATAGACTAAACACTCTTCATAGGCTTGTTGTCTTTGGTACTAGCAACTCTTCTATTTGTTGTCTCTGTGGGATTGGGCTTGAGGACCATAATCACTTGTTTTTTAAATGCCCATTCTCTTACAGAGTCTGGAATGTTATGCAGGGTATGTGCAATTTGACTGTTCCTTATCTTGATTGGATAGATTTGGTAGATTGGTTAAACATGAATATCAAGGGCAAATCTTTGGCTACCACTATTTCTAAACTTGTGTTTACTGTTTCTGTTTACTGTATTTGGACTGAGAGAAATTGCATGATTTTCGAAGGCTCAAAATCCACTGAGGTGGCTGTGCAAGCTAGAATTAGAAGCCTTGTGAGAAACAGGATCTTGTCCATTTCGAGCTTCAAAGAGGAGGTGACAAATGCTTGGTTTATGGTGATGTGGTCCCTCCCAAACTCTATCCTAAAATCAGGTCAAGGATAGCTTATTGGTAGATGCAGCTGGTGCTTGAGTGTTGTGAGTTCAGAAATTGTGGATTGAGTGGAAGTGAGTATATATTGTGTGTTTCTAATTGTTTGCTATTGTTGCAGTCTCTTCGTAATTGGTGTGAGGTTTGCTATATACCGCTGTGGGTTGAGTTTGTGAGGAACAAATACCATCCCTCCTTCCATCCAAAAGTGAAAGAATCATCTAATGTTTACATATATCTGTATATATTTTCTTATTGTTTTAGCAGGTGTCTAATCAGTTTCCCAATGCATGGTGGAGTCCATATATGTGGGTTGAGTGTTGTAAGGTTTTACTAATCATCCGAGTTTATGGATCAATGTTGCAGCTGCTGTGGATGCTGGCAGATCTATGGGTTTTCTGGATGCTAGTAGCATGCAATTTGGTTTTTTTAGTCTCATTTGTCGAAAATGCTTGTATTTATTTTTGCTAGTTTTGCCTTCCCTTGCGGGCTGTGCAAGGGTAATCTATTTATTCTCTTGACATGTATGTTTCTGTTTTGATCTTGAGTTACTTCTCAAGCTTTTGGGGACTTCGTAGCGGGTTGTATAGGGTTATTTGTTCCCTTTTCTTTAGGCTACTATCTGCTTATATGTATGTTCATGGTCCTCATGTTCTCCATGGGGCCCTTTAACATATCTTTCGTATGCCTTATTTTGTCCTATTTATTTTGCTCTGTTTAGCAAGTGGGCCCCTCTCCTTTTGTTTTTTTCGGTTTGGTGTGCCATGGTGCTTCCCGTTTGTCTTTTGTTTTCTATTTCTTTGTTGTATAGTGTTTGGTAGGGTTT